TGAAAATAATGGATGCACTTTCATGCTTTTCTAGGGTTAATTAGGTATAGGTATGCTAATATTTTGCCAGATAGGCAACAGAGAGCCGATGGCTAATTAAATGAACGGTAATTTTGGCACAGTGAAATAGTGCGTACAGATGACATATTTTTTATTTATCAATTGCGGGCAGTTGACGGGAGACGGGCGGTGGCTGCGGCCTGTAGCGGCGCCCATGCGTTGTGAAATATCAGCTTATATACATCATAAGGTATATACGCTAATCTAACTTTTATTTCCGTCAGATGTCATGTCGATTCTTAACAATAAACGACAAACAAACAAACGTGTTTGCAGCATGGGGTAGGCATTGAGCATCACAATGTTTCGTTGCATTTAGCTAAGGCTCGCGGCTGGCGACAACGTCCCGCCGTGTGTCGCTTGCGTTACAAATTTTGCGGGCCCAACATTAGCTTTACCAGAAAAAATAGTTATAATAACCGTCTTATTTGTGTAAATTTACCGCCATGAATTTGTGTACGATTACCACGCGAGTGTTCCTTTTGGTACTTTTTACCAAAAACACATATTTGTGCGTAAATGTAACGCGAGATCCGCGGTAAAGTTACACTGAAAGCGGTTCTCCTACACAATAGTGAAGCACTCCGAAGCTAGCAAAACACACATATAAGTGTTCTTTTACGCAGAAAACAGAGTAATTTTACACCAAAAAAAGAGTTCCTTTTGGTACTTTCAATTACACCGTTTTTCCGCCCAATATTTCTGTGTGTGCAACATTCATGATAGGCGGTTATAATAGTACGCCTGTTTTTGACGGTCCCCGTATTAAGTGCATCAGCAGAACGTTCGTTTTCGGACCGTCTGTCTCATATCTCCTACTCCCATTCATTCTCCTACTCATTTTCATTCACCAGAAGGCTGCCCTCGAGCTTGACCTCGGCTCGAGGAGGTTCAGAGGCAGTTTGTCAAAAGTCGGCCAGAGAAGAGATCACCCTCTTTTGGGAGCCCTTAGACTGAGACTGAGCTCAGGGAGGTATGAAAAATGTGATAGGTATGTATACCCGGGTGATCTGGAAATGTATGTGGGTCGCCCTAATGGAGCTTATTCTGGTATACCAATCGTGTGAGAGAGAATCGCACATACGAGTATACGTACTACGGGAAAAAGAGAACTACATAGGTACTGACTATTGTTTTGGGGAATACACCATTTTACATCTCAACGAACAGCACAATGTTTTCACAGGTCTGTGTCTCACAATCTAATTTTATAGTTTTATTTGATCCCGACCTTAACCCGGCCGGGCCCGGTGGGTAATCCCAACCACCACAGCCCGGGGGTAGGACCTCCCCCCACACACACCCCTACCCACCCACCTGTCTAACTCGGTAAATAAGGCAGCTACGAAAACAAAAATGGTACCAAACGAAAGGTATCTATGAGAAGATTCTTAAGCACCTAAACTTTTTGACCTCAGGTCAATTTTCAAGGTCAGAAGTCAAGGTCAAAGGCAAAAACCAGCACTTTTGTAGTGGTCTCAAAGTACGTGTTCCAGAGGACGGTATGGTGCATAAAACCGGCTAAAATGGGTGTTAAACGAAAGAAGAGAGTCTGGGTATTCCGATGATGTGCATAACATTCAAATTCAAGGTCAATGCTCAAAATTGACCACAAACTTTGCTCTTTTTCTTATATCTTGTATACTAAATTCTGAGATGTTTTGAAATGTTTTGAAGCTTAGTGGACCCCTATTTGTGCTTTAGCCTACGATACGAGGCTGCTACAAGGCCAAAAGCACAAGAGGCTAAATCCTAGAGGCTAAATTTGCTAAATTTGCTCCTTGCTAAATTTCACTTACCTATTCAATTCAGGCAAAATAATTAAGACATGTTTTGCCATCTTGAGGCTCTAAATGAATGCTTAGAGCAAAATGGATGCCAGAATCGTGATCAGCGGCTACGAAATCATCACAAACGACCTTTCATGTGTCAAAGTCAACCAAAGGTCACTCGAAGTCACATGAGGTCGACATAAAACTTGACCTTTCCCAAAAAAATATATAAGTCATTCGACGTGTCTCGACGAGACGAATGCGCAGGTACCACTGCCGTAGCTCTAGGACCTTTTTTGTTGAAGTAACTTGCAAACGTGAGAAAACTCGCCTGGAACTACAAGTTTTAGTTGCCAGGACACAATCTGGTTGTCAGGCTATACATTGTACGAAGATGAGTGGAAAACACTGAAATGAAACATTCCAGGGATACTGGCTGGATGACATGCAGTGAAAAGGATTATGTGTCCCATCACCATGGTGTGTCAAAAGTGGAAATAGCCGGTGCGCCGTCTGGCAGCCCGGCAGCCCGCCGCCATAGGGAAATTCATGCTTTTTGTCGCTTTTTCGCTCCTTATGAGTCACTTGATCTAATTAGAGCTTAACTAGGAACGAGGCGGGTCACTGGGACGCATTCGGGAGCCGAATATGGTGTTTTGGAGCCAATACCTGGGAAACCCTACCCGCCCAATGCGAGTTTTTAAGAGTCTGCATGCCCAAATTAACGTTGAGCGCGGCCGTTTTCGGTCGGTTTTCCGCGACCTTGTGCAGGGTGGGCTAATTCGCTTAACTAGGAATGAGGCGTTGAAGAGAATTATTCAAGGAATAGAGCTGTGCAAAAATATTTTTTGTTTTGTTTAAACTGTATCCGCCCTCGAACGATAAATATTGTTGACCCATCAGAAACACAGCCCCTGGAATGCGTTTGGACTTGGCTGGATCTAATATTAGCGAGTATCTGCTAATGCAGTTTCTTGGCTTACACAGTACGCACACAAGCATACATACTTCCTGCCCTTGGTTATTCCTCACTTGAATGAAAATTTTGCTATAATAACTATTCCAAGCAGTTAACAGGTTTTAGTGCAGTGCCAAGTCAGAACCGTTCAGCGCCGCCAGTCTCCCAGGCGGCGCGTAGCGGCCGCCGCCGGCCGCCGCGCCGCCGCTCTGGCAGGGTGTTTGACTTCATATCTCTGTTGCTAGAAAAGTTGTGGACCGATTTACTTGATTCTTGCATGAAAAGATCCGCCATTCAATTCTTAGCAGATAACGAAAATTTGACGTCAATTGCACGATCCGCTGCCCATATTGTGATACTGCCATCTATTGACAAGGCTGGCTAACTAAAGCCGGGCGGCTATTTCCACTTTTGACACACCATGCTGACAGTATAATGTGCCCCTGCAGGTGACAGAACCTGCCCCGTATATGGGGCAGTTTCTGTCAGATGACGCGTCGACGCATAACCGACTCTAGCGTCGAAACCACTTGAGATGAAACCGGAACACTAATGAGGCATTTGATGCTATTGCTGTAGGAAAAATACCAGGAAAGTGTCAAACACCAGCTGTTGAAAGTGTGCGCGCTGGAGCCACTTTGGTAAAAAGTGACACAATGTGCCCCTACCTATTATTCTTTATATATTGTTACGTGTATTGTGAACGAGGAGAGAAATATCAAACCAGCCTTCCCTTCGGTTCTGCGACACCTTAGCGAGCATCGCGAGCGATATTAGAGCCAAACCTTTTCAGAGATTATTAATTTTAACAGTTGCCTTTTTTAGCAATAGTCAAGTCAGCGGATTCAATTACAGCTCGACTATCAACTAAAGCGAGGACCAGAATCAGCGAAACCATATCGAGCGAATATATTGCGGATAATGGGAGACCAACTGAGCGAATACAATTACAGCGAAACCAAGCGCGACGAAAATCCATTAGTTGACACTTCCCGGAAATTTGAAGACACTGGACATCGCGGATGATCAACAAGGGGTGGGAGGGGAAGGAGGAGGGATAAATTTGGTCTGGAAATGTGGAACATGAGGGATAGGACGACGAAAGGAATGCCAAGGACCAATGAGAAACTCAAGGGGTACAGTACAGGGTAATCTAGTCTCAGTTTCAGGAGTTTCGCCCAAATATCCGAAAATTCGAAAATATCCAAGGTCCGGCCCGAACCGGCTTGCAACGCTTTGGGAAGGCATATATCTAAGCAGCCTCTGGACCGATTGGCCTGCGATCTTTTTTGTTGGGTAGCCCCATCCCTTCTTCCCTTGTAATTAACTTGTTAGGGGGGTGAAATAGAATAATTACATACATCTTTTTAGAAATGCGGTATGAAATGTGGAACTCAATGTATGACTTTTAAACGTGACATTCGCAATCCAGTTCCGGATAACCATGAGAATTTACGGAAACATTCGTACGCTCGCAAAAGTAAAAATACACCGATACGGGAGAATAAAGAGTTTCCCTGAACATGAACATCACTCAAATAGCAGTCGACGAAATAGATGTCTCTGAACCATGTCTTGCTAAAACTGATAATCACTGTATTCGATAATCATCTAAATTGATAATCGCTAAGTTGTCAGTCGCTGAAAATGGTTTCCTCAAATGACGTTCGCTCAAATGACACTCGCTAAAATCGCTCGCAACGCCAGTTTCCGCGTGTCACAATAATGAGGAGTGCAAGAGTCTACTGAGCGTTGATGGTGGTGGCGAAAAACAATGTGGCTGCGGCCAGCAGCATTTGCGCCGGGAACCAAAGAGCAATCCGTCTCCTTCTACTAAAGCCTTGAACATTGGGCAACAATAACTGCACATCATTGCACACCACCCTCAAGCAGATATAGTTGAACTAAGGGCAAAGCGGTAACGACCGGTCGCACCTAACCACGCCCGGTCTACCAAGGTATGAAGAAACCTGATGGGTTTAGTGAACTCAGAGGATGATCTCATTGCATTAATCCGAAAGCTGTCATGCTATTCATCTCTTACACCGTTTCACTTACCAAGCAGCTTGAGAGTTCCGTCCGAACCTGTTTCACCGGTGGGGACTACACCAACGGACAGAGCATAAACCTGACCCGACCCGGCAAGGTCACTCCAGCCGCGCTGATATAAAGATCAGACGGTAGACTCTGGTCAGCAGTCAGCAGTCAGCAGGCTCAGCAGCCACAGACCGTCAGCAGAATCAGCAGTCACCATGAACACCTCACTAGCACTGATTGTCTCTTTGATGGTAAGGGATTTTATATTACGATTAATTTTAAGCTGTAAGCTACACTTAAACATAATCAAAGCTAATTATAATTAAATACTATAACTCATTTGACCTCACTGACCTCTCTCTCTCTCTCTCTCTCTCTCTCTCTCTCTCTCTCTCTCTCTCTCTCTCTCTCTCTCTCTCTCTCTCTCTCTCTCTCTCTCTCTCCTCTCTCTCTCTCTCTCTCTCTCTCTCTCTCTCTCTCTCTCTCTCTCTCTCTCTCTCTCTCTCTCTCTCTCTCTCTCTCTCTCTCTCTCTCTCTCTCTCTCTCTCTCTCTCTCTCTCTCTCTCTCTCTCTGACCACTGCTGCCCCCACTGACCTCGTTTGCCCTCTCTCTGACGCCTGATGACCCCACTGACCTCATTTGACCTCTCTCTGACTCCTGGTCCCCTGGTGACCTCGTTTGACCTCTGTTTGACCCCTGCTGCCCCCACTGACCTCATCTGACCTCTCTCTGACTCCTGGTCCCCTGGTGACCTCGTTTGACCTCCATCTGTTCCCTTTTGCCCCCACTGACCTGGTTTGACCTCACTCTGACCACTGCTGCCCCTGGTGACCTCGTTTGACCTCTATCTGACCCCTGCTGCCCCCACTGACCTCGTTTGACCTCTGTGTGACCCCTGCAGGTGGTGGCCACCGTGTCAGCCGGCTCGGCACCGACACAAGACAGCCGCCAGGGCCGCCTGCTGCTGCTGCTCGGCAAGAAGAAGCTGCTGGCCGCCGCGCCGCTGCTCGCCAAGGGCGGCGCCGTCAAGGCGATCGCCGCCAAGGGCGCCACCGTGGGCAAACTCAAGGGTCTGGGCGGCGTGGCCGGTGTGGCTGGTGTGGCCGGCGCCGCTCAGCCCGGCTACGTGGTGGCCCAGCGCCCGCAGCCGGTGTACGTGCAGCAGCCGACCGTGGTGGCCGTGCAGCAGCCTCAGCAGCCTGTGTACGTGAAACAGCCGACCGTGGTGGCCGTGCAGCAGCAGCAGCCTGTGTACGTGCAGCAGAGCCATCCGACGTACGTGCAGCAGAGCCAGCCTGTGTACGTGCAGCAGAGCCACCCGACGTACGTGCAGCAGAGTCAATATGGCCGCTAGATAATCAGGCTGACCCGCTGACAGTGGGACCAGCTGCTGACAGCTGGGGACAATATCTGGTAACTGCACTGTCAATTTTGGGCAGCTGTAGATTTTTGAACATATTTTTGAAATCGTTTATCTCTGTTTTCGTGCTTTCAGTGATGTTCTAACTGAGAATGTGATGTCAATGTTTTGTTTCATTCATCAATATTGCTCAGTTACTGTGTTACGCACTCAATGGAAAATACATTTGTTGTTGGAATCAGCTTACTTGTTTACTTTCAAGGTTACTCTAAACCTAAAGACGGCTTCATATCGGATAGATAAATCGCACAATGCATAACCAACTCGATAAGCACTTGCCAAATTATTTGGATGAGCCTAAATGTAGAGTGAGGTGGAACTGGAAATGGAAGACAACGATTTCGCTATTCTATTGAATGGGGATTTGGGATGCTATATCCGTGGTGTCGATAGCCTTTTAATGGTCTTTCTGAAACATTACCTGAGATTTGAACTAAGGTTATTGGTTTAGAATGCAGCGGCCAAAAACTGCCAAATTAGACGTTTTTGCAGAAACAGTTCTTCTGCAATAGCTTTTGATTAAAAATTTGCACGAGTTTACTTTTTTCAGCACTGTGTTCCTCTCGTCAAGACGCGTCGAACGAACTATACTCATGGACATGCGATGACCTCAGAGATGACCCCAGGGACATAACGAGGGGTCACTGGGCCCTTCGTTATACACGTCGTTATATTCGGTGCATTCTGAGGGCACCTGCCAGGGCCCTCGCCGCCACCTCTAATGGCCCCACGGCCCACACCAGTGCCTCTTAACCCGCGCCCCGTAGGGCTACCGGCGGACCCTACCACCCGTAGGGGGGGGGGGGGCCGTTTCGGCCCCCCCCTAAGATCTCGGAAAGTTACCGGCCGATTTTCAAAATTCAAACGGCGTTCGATAGCCCCACCCGGGAACTACCTTGTGACCAAATTTCATTGACCTAGGTCAAACCGATGACGTCACAGGTCAGGTCAAAGGTCAGATTTTCACCGTTCACAGGCAATTCAAGAAATGTGCTGTGAAAGCGAGTAAATTGGTAATTTATTGAAAACCATCGATGGTACATTGTTCGTCAAACACATACTTTGCTATCTGAGGTCACTGATACCAGGTCAGGTCACAGCGAGGTCAGGTCACCGGGGGTCACAATATGAATGTGTCGTGTGATACATGTTTTATGGTCCATTTTACATGACGAATGCGATTATGTGGTTCAGGCAGCCTTTGGGGCCAGCCTAGGTCACGTTTTGGTGAAGGTCAGGTCAAGGTCAGGTCAAATTAGGTCAAATTTCAAAGTTGATATTTTTGCATAAAATGGGCATCGATTCGATGCAGCTCGTCACGGGGAGTCTAATGGTGGTCTTCGTTTTGCTCTACGAGTTCCAGAATTGCCAAAAATTGAGTTTGAAAATTTGACGTCATCATTTTTGAACAGTTTTTTCGCTATAACTTAGCCAAAAAACGAGGTATCGTTCTGAAATTTGGTATGTAGATAGAAGACGGTAGGCACTATCACAAATATTCCGTTTTTTTCGAACCTAAAAAAACTTTTTGGATTTTTTGGCGAATATATCAAAAAAAATGCTTTTTTGATTTTTGGGGGCCAAAACTAAAAAATTTCAAAAATTCGAGATGGCAGTTTTTTAGCCCTGTCAATTCTACACCTTTTATGTCTTGATCATTTTTCTGCATCTCAAAGCTGTAGTCCTGACAGGTCTTCTCGCGAAGGTCTTTTTTCGGTCGAAAATGACAGAACATGACGTCACTCTGACGTCATTTGTGGCCAACCTATCATAGCCTCTGGAACAATTTTTGGTCACAATGTGTAAAATTGATTCCCGGAGGGGTCCTGAAAGTTTAGTGGCGATATCTCCAGCCGTTTAGGAGATATCGACCGAAAAGGACAGGGGGGGGCCGTTTCGGCCCCCCCTACGGGGCGCGGGTTAAGGGCCTACATCGGCGGCTCTGAGGGCCCCCCACACCGGCGCCTCTGAGGACCCCACTCTTGGGCCTCTGTGGGCCCTACGCCAGTGCATCTGACGGCCACCTACCAGCGATTCCGACTCTGATCAATTTCACTACCAGCGACTCTACCGGCCTCCGAGGGTCCCTTGCCGGCCTATGAAGGGTCACCAGTATCTTTCAGGGTCCCACACATGCCTATGGCGGCACCCACCAGTGTCTCTAAGTCCTAAGGCCCCCACAACGGCGCCTGTGATGACCCCACACCAGTTTGTTTTGTTGGGTTAGGCCCTTTCGGTCGACAAGACCATTGCAGAGCCGGAAGGATGATAGGAATTAGGGGGAGACATTGGTCTGGGCAGGCACCCTAGTGAGTCGCCGGGGCTGAGCCCGTCAAGAGGACAGGCCACCCAGCCCCAAGGCACTCACTGCACCCGGCTACGGGGTGCGCTCCCTCGGGAGCAGCGATGCCGCTCCAAGGGAGCAGCCCGCATGAGATAAAGTTGCCTGTCCAGCCCGGAGGGGGGTTGCGGCGTGGAGGAGAAGGATTTCTGTATCCTGAGGATAGAAGCACGGATAGGTGCCCACACCAGCGCATCTGACGCTTTTCACCTTCACCTCTGAGCAACACACATCAGTGACTCTGAGGAACCCACACCAGTGACTCTGAGGAACCCACACCAGTGACTCTGAGGCGCTCGCTTGCTTCGCTCGCTCTTAGAATTTAGTGCATTTGTGATTTGATGCACACTCCTCAGCCAAAAATAATATTTGCGCCTGCCAATTTTCCACATTTTCTCAGGGCCAATACCTTTACAGAGGGGCCCGTCTGCAAGTGGGACCAGGCCCACTGTGCCCCCCCCCCATCAAAAGGTTCTGGATACGCCCCTGCCTGGGTTGACCCTGGGTCACCGGGTGACATGGGGGCCCCCTTTGAGAGCAAATTTCCCCCTTCTGGGTGAAATCCTAAGTGCATGACTGGCTTTAGGGAGCTGGCTCTGTGCAGTGGCGCAGCCAGGATTTCATTTCGGGGGGGGGGGGGGGTCATCGCCTCCAAAGCGGGCCCCCTAGTGTGCGGGCCCCCACCCATTTTTTAGAATCTCTTCTTAGCGTTAAGGTTGCTAAGTGAGCCCGGGCGGAGCTACAGTTCGGTGTTTTGGCATTGGCTGGCCTCGACCCCTGGCCCCTTCCTGGGCTCTTCTGAAAGACGCCCTAGAAAGAACAGAGGGAGACAAAAACAAAAAAAAAACAAAAAAAAATTGCTGCGCGCACTCCGTCGCTCGGCGTCCTAACGGAAAAGGCCGCTTGGGCAGCGTTGCCTAGAGTTCAAACATAAGTCGTATGTCGGACATACTTACGTGCAGTTGTGGTAGCCGTTGTGGTTCCAGTGCCTGCGCCCATGCTGTTAGTTGCTAAAATAAATGCATGGTAGAAATCAACGCTGTTACAATATATCACCCACGATCTAAAATCTAATTATCTGCGCCTGTCGTGTTTGCGCGACATCTGGTGGCACTATGCGACCTGTAGTTCTCCCCGGCGCACCTAGGTGGCACGGCCTGTTCCGTGTTGAGGTACGACCTGGCGCTGGCGGAGGTGGGAGGTGACTAGGGCGCAACTTCCCGCTAATATAATTTGCACGGTTCCATCGTGAAATGACCATTAGCGTTAAGGTTGCTAAGTGAGTCCGGGCGGAGCTACAGTTCGGTGTTTTGGCATTGGCTGGCCTCGACCCCTGGCCCCTTCCTGGGCTCTTCTGAAAGACGCCCTAGAAAGAACAGAGGGAGACAAAAAAAAAAAAAAACAAAAAAAATTGCTGCGCGCACTGCGTCGCTCGGCGTCCTAACGGTGGTCCGGCTCGGTAGATGACGGGAGTGCTTGGACTAACGGTGTGACGGTGGTATATGACAGATGGGGGGGGGGGGGGGGGGCCTGGCGATTGCCATGGTAGGTGTGCCGTTGGCGGCGGCGTGGCAACGGTGAAGACGTACGGGGTGGTCCGGGCGGCGGCCTGGATAGGTGGAGTGTCGGCATGGCGGCGGTATATGGCAGACGGGTCGGTCCGGGCGCTAGGGCTAAGTATGATCGTGAACGGTCGGAAGCAGCATGATAGCAGTACCTACATATATGGCAGACGGACACTCCGTGCGTTAGACATGACAGAAGTGTCAGCGGCGGCGTGACCGTGGTGCGTGACAGGCGGACGGCCCGTGCGGCGGGGATGATAGATGATTTGTCCGCTGCGGCGCGACAGCGGTAAAAGACAGACGGCGTGCCATGATGGTGGACTGTCAGGCGTCACTGTCAGCAGCGGCGTAACAGCGGTATGAGACAGACGGGTAGTCCGTGTGGTGGCATGTCAGTTTAGACGTCAGAAGTAACGTGACGGTGGTTCGTGACGGACAGGACGGCCGGGGCGGCGGGAACGATAGGTGGAGGTCCGCAGCGACTTGACCGTGATGCCCATTTAGGTGTGATGTTAGACGCGGCGTGGCGTTGGTGTGTGACAAGACCATGACTGACCAGGTCCGAGCCATGACATGCCAGGTTGTCGGCAACGGCGTGACGGTATCGACGTGTAAGCGATATGTGACGGATAGGCAGCTCGTGCGATGAACATGACAGGTCGGCCGGTGGTGGTGGCGTGACAACAGCATATGACAGACGCGGTGACCGTGGAACGGGCATGACCGACAGCAGAGTGACGGCTCGTGACGTATCGGCGGTAGGTGGCAACAAAGGCGATGCGCAGGCGCGTAGCCCCCGGTGCTAAAGATACACAGCCTGCCGCAGCCCGAAGGTCCGGCGCTGCCTGGGATCGAACCGGGACACCCTGGCGATAGTCCTAACGGCACACAAACGGATCCATCACACTAACCACCACACAGCGATGGCCGCAGCGTTCTGCGACAGGTGAGCGCAAACAATGGGCGCTGGTGAGGAGGGCGGCGCTAAGTAAACAGACTTACGGCGGGGAGCCACCGGCCCGATACTGATAGGATGGCCGAGGAGCCGGTCGCGGCGGGGAGCGCGGCGAGAGAAGTGCACCAGCTAAGGGGGACGCTAGCAAACAGACGTGCGGCCGGCGGTGGCAGGGGACAGCCCGGTCCAGTCCAGAAAGGCGCCGCGGTGACTGGCAGGGTGACCAGGCGTAGGTGGGAAATGGCAAACGGGCGAGACGGCCGGCGGTGATAGTGGTGGTGACGAGCGCGGCGGGCAGGACAGTTTGGTATGACATGAAA